GTGTTTATGCATTTATTTATTTTAAACTAACGCGGCTTTTTAATATCGTTGATTGCAGAATGTATGTATGTATGTATTTTAAGCGCTTTAATTTTTATTCGCAAACTACTGTGCAAATTCGATGCAGCTTTCTCCAGTTTTATTATTAATTCGAACATCGTTGTGCGCTTTCCCAATTAAAAGTGTACTGTCTTCTAAGTTCTGCATCACATTTTCACGTACATAAAAAATTTAATTTAGCAATTAAAATTTTTTTAATTTCTTTTGACAACAAAGTGCATTGCTGTTTTTTGCTGTGTGCGTGAGTGTTTTATATAAAAATAATTTTGCAAAATATCTATTAATTTTTATTCGTTTTTAGTTAACTGCTAGTAAAATATAAAATATGTTGTTATAATAATTACTTTTAAATTCAATATTTTTCTAAGAAAATGCCAAAAACAAATACACTTAGGTGCTGTTATCTATTTAAAAATATTATTTTTAAGCTATTAAAAACTATTTAAAAATTTTAAATTTATTCATTTCATAAATATTTCGTAAATTGGTAGTTACTTTTTGTTTAATGGCAGCTTTTGGGATATTATTTGTTGCGCCTATTAATCGGGTTACACATTAATTGTTTTCTCTTTTTAATTTCTCATTACTTAAGCAGTGATAAATTGCACGTTGAAAATACTAAATGCCTTCTAGTAAAGTACATCAAAAATATAAGTCACTATTTAAGTGCAAGTAGCTATAGTCAAAGCGAATATCGAGATAATCTGGATAATCTGCAGAGTGTAGGTAGCAAGTTGGGGATTGCGAACACTTTTAGATATGTCCACTGGGGCGGACCGATTATGATTATTATGATCGTATAGCTTGGCAAGTTTTTACGCGTAATTCTAAGCAAATTTCCAAAGAAACCATGGGCCTAAAATCAACTCGGAGTTTGCCGAATGGCGAAAATAGGTTTCGAAGAAAATTTTAAATTTTTTACTGTTGCGGCCTCTGTTGGAAGTTTTGAGAAAAATATAATAGCATAAATGGATTCGGCATACCTTTTAGCATGCTTTTATACAAAATTGCAGCACTTCTTGACAACACTAAAGCAAAAGGCCAAGAAACCTTTTTTCGCAATTTGGCATACCCTTGACTTCTTCGTCAAATTTGCTTGGAATGATACGTAGAATACTTCTGTCGAAAAAATCTCCCATGCAAATTGACCCGTCCTAATGTTCATACAAAAATGAGAAACGAATTTTGACAAATTGTCGAAATTAGTTTCGGAATCTCTGTCTCTATATGACAGCATTGCAATAAAAATTTAATTTTTTTTTAAGAATTCTTAATTTTTTAAACGTGTCGCAAATCAGCAGGCTTTATACTTATTTATGCATACATATACTTATATACATTGTTATGGCAATTGATTTTAATATCTCAAAAGATAAAAAATATTCAATTAACTGCGAAAAGCTATGCACTTAACAACACACACCAACATTTTTTTTTTTTGTTTATTTAACTAGAATTGTTGCACTTTACAAAAGAGACAAACAACTTCTGACAGCTGCTATGAAATCTAATTAATCCGTCACATAAAAGCATACTCACAGGGGATATGAAGCGCTGAGCCATATGTAATTAATAAGCTATACATGCCATGAATATTAAAGTTTTCCATTAAAATTAATTACTTTGTGTTGGGTAACCTTGAACTTATGCAGCTGTCGCCACACGCCATATTGTTTTACGAAAGCTGGCTGAAATTGAAGTCTCGCCCAGGCAGTGTTAAGCACTGCCTGATAAATTTTGACAGCCCCATTCGAAGTATTGACGAATTCAAAAGATTTTGAGTTACTGCTTAGTTGCTGTTTACAGTCGACCGAAAACGGTTTCCATTCCCAATTGGGCGCAAAAATCCAAGGTTCAAAGGCAACATTGTATAAAAAATTTTCATATTGAATAATAATTTTTTTTTTGTTTAGTTCCGAAAAATAAACTGTTAAACTTATCCATTTAACATAAACGATCTGCACACTTGAGTGGAAAGACTTTCCTGAAAAATTTTCAGGAATTGACTTTTACCGTTTCACGTTAAAGGTTATTTTTTTTTAGTTGGGATATTAATTTTGTGCCATATTTTTTACGATTTTCGATGGGGTTCTATAAAGTAAAATCCATGTACCAACTTTTCTAGTCATTCGGCCATGAAGTATAACACCCATAATAAATGAAATACTAATAAGCAGGACGACAGACTACATGGTAGCCATTCTCGACTACAGCTGTAATATTCAAGTGTTATTCCCATGCAGAAGAGACTGGAGATGAGACCAATTGGCAGATAGTGAGGCTACCGCTCTATACAACTACTGATCCAAGCTAAATTGCGATGTGGGAGCGGGAGTCTACTCAGAGAAACTCAGTTTTTCTCTGACTCTACGTTTGGGAAGATATATGGGCATATTCTAAGCAAAATATCTAGGTATCTTCAAAACCTCTAAAATCGTACGCATTAAAGTCTGCCACTAGAGTAAAGCAGCAATATATTCTGACAGCCCGGCGGCGTTATTTGCAATAACATCTCCGGTTACCAAATCTAAGCTGGTTAGGCTCAGTGTCTCATTCAACCACCGTCTTTCTAGCCTGGGTTGCCGGACATAGGAACATAGAAGGCAATGGCAAGGCCGATGAGCTAGTTTGGACGAATCTGATGTAATGGCACTGGGTTGCCCTCTCGGGATAGTCCAAGGAGATACTAATTTGCATTTCCTTGAACTGGCTAGACACAGGTGGTCGACTGACTATAACAGGACGAAGACCTTAGACCTGCTTAGCACATCAAGACCATAGGTACTCAGAATTGTAGCAATCATCGCGGAGCACAGCCCCATAACTAACACAATTTGTTGCAACTGTCACCTAGAAAATAGCGAATAAAGTGTCCTGCATTTCCTTTGTGAATGCCAAGGCCTTTCTATACCATAAGGGGGATCGATAGAATCATTAGAGAATCAAAATGGTTCGACCAAGCACCATGCACAAATGGCGCAAAAATGCGCTAATTGAATCCTTGGCAGCGACTAGAAAGAACTGCAACCAACCAAAAAGTTCAATAAGTTCGAGCGTGGTCATCGCTCTCTGGAACATGAACTTTATGAGAGGATTCCGAAAATGGTTTTTATGAAGGAAAACCTCGACGAAGTGTATTCATCGTTGGAAGCAGATCAGTATATGGCACGCCGGGTAATAGAGGCCATCAGTGAGATTCGTTACAATTTACTACCTCATAATTTGGCGGTTGCTCCAAAAAATAGTTAGTCCAACTCATGTATCATCTGGGCCTGGAGTTCTGCCACCGTTGGGCATGGCAGTTTTATACCTTACCTTTGAACAACAGAAGATAGGATTGCTTTTAACTACTCTTCCACATAAATACGTCAAAACATTTTCAACAATTTTTTCATTACCATTATCATCGCTGCCCCATATATTTAAAGCATAGTCAGGCGGCCGTGTTAATCCAACTTGTTAATACAGAATTAACTGCAGTTAAACTGAAATAAGTCCTGCAGCTTACCCTAAAAATTAATGCGGATCAGAGGAATTTGTGATGGCAACAAACTAGCTAAAACGGCCAGCTTTTGTCTATTGTACAAGTAAGTAAACAACCAAAGTGAGTTTGGGGTTTCCGGTAGCCAAGGGGAAGAATTTTTTTATTTTACTTTTTTCTTTTGTTTAATTTTATTTCACATTACTTATTTTATTATTAGAGAACTAAGTTTTTGTATTAGGTTTTATTAAAAAAAAGTAAATGAATTTAAAAAAGTGCAATGAAAGTTCTTCTGGCCGTTGGACTCGAACCTATGACCACGTGGCTCCTTGACTAGATCAACTCCGCCATTAATCCAATAAGAGCACATCTCACCTTTTTTTTAGAGTCACTCCCTTCTCTGGCAGAAAAAAAACGCTAAAGCACTCTTCTTGCATTTATTTCAACCAATGGATTTCCTGAAACAAGTACCTACAATAAAATATAAATCAAGTATTTTGAAAAATTTTTGCCTTAAAACGTTTGTTTAGGCGAAAAAGTACCGAAATTGCTAATTTTTCCCTTGTCACTCGAAAAAATCATAACTTTTTTTTTTTTTATAACTTTGTGAAGTTTTCAAATAGAATATTCATATAAGAAGCAATGGACTTTGACAACAAATACAGCATATCTGTGAAGTTTCAAGATTGTGCTACCAAATTGGAAAAAAAATGGCAGCATGCAGTATACCTGTCGCAGCTATTTAATTAATAACTTAAGATACTTCAAAATGTTAAAATTAAACAGTGAAAATGTTTTTCTTGTCAAAACGAACGAATCTAGTGCAATAAAACTAGTGTGCCACGAAATTAAAAAAAAAAATACTCTGAGCAAAAGATGACTATGATTTGAGAAACTAAATTCCATTTTTACAATTTTTATTGGCAAACCGTCACTGCCAATAACCTCTGCTAGTTTCACAGAGGATTTTTTCACACCCTCGCCCCGTAGGAATATTAGAAAGAAACTGCTCTCCCATTTCTTCTCATGTTTTTGCAGGCTATTTCTATCTGAAAAATTCGAAACTCATATTCTTTGTTCGCGCAAAGCCTCTACAATTTTGCGCAGATTTAAATGACTAAAATTTAAAAATAAATTTTTGCATGAGTTCTACGTCCTTTAGCGGATAAGTATCTAACTATATATCGAGCCCTAACCGCCAAAAGGATGTGAGCGACATTATTTTTCAAAATTTTCTTTTTGATGCCGAAATGCACCTTCGGCATCTATTTGCATTTTTGAGTCAAAAATAAAATTTGAAGAAAAGAAATTCCCTTACATCAATTTTGCAGTTAGGGCACGATATATTTAATTTAACTTAACTTGACTGATACACCTTGCTCTCGTCTCTTACTCTCTTTTAACTGATATATTTTTCGCAGAAACACACCTATGTACATACAGTAAATATTAATTGATATCAATTTCTATGCATTTATTTGCCGTTTTATTTAATCTTGAATTTTCAACTACAAGCGCATGCTCTCTACTTGCGTTTATTTTATTGACTGCCGATTTCTATACTAAATTTTTAATTTACTTATGTTGATCATAGATCTTCTTCAATTTCAGCGCCTCGCTGTTCCTTTTCATCTATGTAGGTTTCTTCTGTGTTTCACTTTTGTTTCTGTTTTTGTTTTTTATACCTGCCTTACGTTTTCCTTTAACATTTACGTTACGTTAACTTTCGTTTACAGACATCTAACTTAACTCATACGAGTACGCTTACAATTACTTTATTTAGCTGCTTTTTTTTCAAAAGTCGTTAATTTGTTTCGATCCTTTCTCCTTAATTTAAGCTTAGAGCACAAGCCTGACTTTACGACTGGCGGCTGTTACATTAAAGTTTCTTGACTGTTTTAAATTTTTTGTTAAGTTTTTGGAAGTTCTTTAAGTAACGCATACGCACATAAGTATACATATGTATGTATGCATAGAATAAAATTGAATTTTCCTTTTTTTATTTTAGATATTTTGTATATGTATTTAAGTTCAGTTAACATAAGTTTATTACGTACTTGTCGCTGCTGATTTTTTAGACAATTTTTTCTCTTTCATTCGTTAAGTTTTTTTTTTGTTTTTTTTTCGTTTCAAATTTTGGTCGTTTCAGGGTTGCAATGAATATATGTAAGTTTGTATATATATAGTTATGTATAAGCATGAGCGTGATTGTAAAATTGCAAAATCTTTACTGCATGAAGTTACGTAGTCATTACTTTACGTAGCGTTTATATCATTTCTTTACGTTTTTTTTTGTTACCACTTCTCTCGCTGACTTTTTTTTATTTTGTCTCTTTTCGCTTCATTTTTTTGCCCGCCACGATTTCGTTTACTTTTTAAACATTTAACATTAAAACACTTGTCACTCGTATCGTAATATTTTGAGTGATATTAGACACGAATGAGTGAGTTTGACACTTAATTAAGTATGAGATATACACATGTGCTTTGAGTGAAAATGTGCGTTGAAATACTCATGTGCTTTGACTGATATTTTGTGTGGCTGAATTAGTAAATTTTAGCGCCAGTAAAAATGTCATGCCTCTTGACTCAAAATAGTGCTATTATAACTTACCAACAATAAAGTGTCTACAAAAAAGTGGGAAATGTGTAAAAGACAAAAAATGATAGATAGGGAAGGTATTTAGTTTATATGCCCTCAAAAATTACTCAAGTTCCGAAAAAAGCGTTGAGTGAATTTTTGAGTTAAATTTTTAAGTTAAATTTTTGAACTGAATTTTTGAGTTGAATTTTTAGTTTATTTTAACTAATATACTAGAGAATATTTTAATCATAACAAATAGTCCATATGCACAAATAGAGTAGTGTTTTTTTAATATTATTGAGTGAACTTCGATTGAGTATTTTTCGTAAATTAAATTTTTTAACGCTTAGATTGGAGACTGCATTTAATAACATGCCAACAATGTTTCTACAAACTGAGCGGAAACTGAATAAAATCCATATGGCGAAAAACAATTATGAAAATTAATAACAATAGAGGTGCACATTTCTTTTTTAATCCTTTACAAATTTAAAAAAAAAAAATCGGGAACATTTTTTAATGAAATTTTTGCAATATTGTGAGTAAATAATAATCTGAGTTTATTTCGAGCATAAAAATTTATAATTCCGGTCAAAATTTAATGCACAATTCAAACAGCTTTTGTTTCCAATATCAATGAGTGATCTTTTTTATTGAGCTAATTGCGAAAATAAAAGGCAAATATGTTTACATTTTTTAATAATAAATGAATTCCTGCAAAAATTAAAAATACAATTTAGATGGAATTTCTTAACATTAAAATGCAAAAGTGTAGATAGTGACTTGAGTGAGTTTGTGTCTACTGAGTATGAAAAACTGAGTAATATTATGTTCAAGTGCATATTAATAGTAAATGTCCGAGTGAAATTTACATTGAGTGGATATAATTGAGTGCATTTTGATTGAGTGTTTTGCCAAAATTGAATGAAACTATAAATTTCTGAACATTTAATGAATGCTTACTACTTTAATTATACATATTGGTAAAATAATTTAAATGGTATGTCCTTAACTTCAAATGGACATAATAACTTGAGTGAGTTTTTGTCTTTTGTGAGTATAAAATTGAGTAGTATTATGTTCGAGTGCATCTTAATGATAATGGTATGGCCAAAATTTAAATGCACGAAAGAAGTCTTTGTTGAGTGAATAACTTTGAGCGAATAATGTTGAGTGAATTGCGAAAATTAAATTAACTATTAATTTTTGAGTTACAACTAAACGAAATGCAAAAATTAAGATAATGACTTCAGTGATTTTGTGTACAAAAGTGAGTGATATTGTGTTCGAGTGGCGCCAAATAAAATTAAATCTCGCGTTCAGGGTTTATATTGAGTGACTCGTAATTGCGAAAATTAAAAAGAACTTCACATTTTCAAGTAAAATATAAATAAAATCAAAATATGAATATAACAACTTGAGCCAGTTGGTATTACTTCAGTATAAAAGTGAGTGATATATATATTATTCGAGTGCTTCTTAATGAGTATGTTAGTGCTGAAAAAGTTAAAATGCACGCGTGAAGTTTATATTGAGTAGTGAGTGGTGTTTGTTTGTACACGTATTAATATTTGTTTATTTTTGAGTGAAATTTCGAGTTATATTGTGAAAAAAGCTAAAAATACAAGTGCGAAATATTTTTCATTTAAATAAGCTGCTACCACAGTTTTCTTAAATTTTACGGAGTTATCGATTCTTATTTATTTATTTTTTATTCATTAAAACAATAACTCGACTGGCGCTATGAGTGCTGTGCTACTGTTTTTTTTTCGTAGTCTTCTCTAGTTACTTATTTGAAAAATTTTAATGCTATTCAGCATTTTTTATTTCTGCCTTTTCGGTCGCCTATCTGCCCACACTTCTCGCTAAAGCCCGGTGAGCATGCTATTGCCCAAAAATTCATTATTTCCTTTTTTTATTGTTTTTTTTTTTTTTTATCAACATAAGTATACACACAAACCATAAGTTAAATTTCAATTGCATACATTATAGTTCATTGATTTGCCGCTTGATTACAATATAATTTGTCAGGCCCCCAGCATTCGCTGCTGCCGCGCCATTTAGGTACATACAATTCGCCTTTCACGCGTCGCTTAACCTTTCTCCTTGCATGCGCTCTCTAAATTTCAAGTTATACTACTAAAAATCGGTAGTCATATATCGTTTGTTTTATTATTGTTGTTACCGCCAGCTGTCGTCGTCTTTTGCTGATTATTGTTTTTTGTATTTGTTGTTGCCACTGCCGCCGCCGCCGCCGTCGCCGCTACATGCGTCTCCACAATGGTCACCACATCGACTGAGGTCATTTGTGCCTCCATTGTTGCTCTGCGTTTAGCTGCTGCTACTGCCACTGCTGCTACATTTTGCACTTGTTCGATTGTCTTGTTTATTGTATTAGTCTGTTGTTGTTGTTGTTGCTGTTGTTGTTGTTGCTGCTGTTGTTGCTGCTGCTGTTGATGGGCCATTAGTCCACCGATATTTACCGTGGTTGTGTTCGCTGTTATAGTTGTTGTTGTGTTCGTGTTTGTTGTTACTGTTGTTGTTGTTTGCGCTACATCCATATTCAATTGCCGACTGATCTCCATATCGATAGCTTCAGCATCCTCCGGATAACGTTCCGAACAAAAGATGGCACCCTCGCGCAACAGCTTTAACAAGTTAATTCGGTCCTCAGCGTTTCGCTTTGCACACAATGGTCTGTAGGTGAGAGAAAGACAAAGAGAAAGAGAGAAAGGGGTGGAAAGGAATGAAAAAATTAAAAACAAAAGATTAGTAAAACCCGAAGATTAAAAAGTAACTTTATGTGTTATCCAACAGAAGTGCGAGTGAGTTATTTTTTATGAGTCCGCGAGCATAAAAAGGCAATACGGCAAATGTCTCTAAAGAGATCTTATAAGAGAACTTTCGATCTAGAATTTTGCTCATAGAAAATAAAAAATTTTCCTTCGTACTTCTTATGGCTGCGAAATGAGTTAATTCTTACTTTGAGATGAGCTATTGAGATAAATATGAGTGAGTTAGTATACGTGCTGAAATACAACAACAAATTAAATATTTTTGAACATCGAAATAAAATGATCCTGTAAAATTCAGAAAGGGACTTCGTCATTTTCGAAACAAAAAAAATATATGTGGAAACTAAAAAATAAACAAAGCAGAAAGAATTTAGCCGGAAATCTCCCATAAGATAAATTATATGCCGCCAGGAAACCACTAATTTAACAAATTTTATATTAAGAAATTTAATAAGAGCACATAGTAGAGAACTAGAGTGTCCCTATGGTGTTTTTTTTTTATAAAAATTAAAACATTGGTAACTTTTAAGGAAATGAATGAATAAAAAAACAAGGCTCCGTACCTTTTATGAACATCAGCAAATTTTGCTTCAACCTATTACTGCATTTTACATTAGTTTATTGTAATCTAAACAAAATGTTTATTTATTTACATATATTCAATGTAAAAAACTAAAATTTATTTAAAAAACTCAAATCTGAACAATGTGTGGTGTGCAAGATATGCCGCATAATGCAGCGATAAAAATGATTTTTACTACTGTGTATGATCGATATGTAAACCAGGACAAATAATTTGATATTTTTAGCTGCCTACATAACGGAGTTATATAGCAAAACTCGTATCTGAACAATCAATGGTATAGGAGATATAGCTTATACTCTCAGTAGACTTTGTATGATTATTTAGAAAATATCTCGATTTTAGCCGTCTAAATGAAAGGCTTTTAAAGTATAACCCCATATCTGGGCGATCAGTTGTGTCGAGGCTATAGGTTATAGTAACCCGATTTTTGTAGTTTTCGTGTCAAGCTTTCTGTTGATAATGAGTGAAAATAGTGCGAAATATCATATTCCTTGCGCATAAATGGAGGAGTTATAAGTGTGAAGTAAATTCTATGTCACTCAACATGAAAAAGTCTAAAGATAACCGTTTCGATCAAATAACTAACTAATAAGGATTTGTGATCATATTGCTGATCGGTTAACTAATTTCATCCATCCAGGTGAAATAATTCTTATTATTATTATTGCGTTAAAAATTTGTCTTGGGATTCCGCTTTATCTTTGAGTCCGGTAATCTATGAGTCTGCCATATCCACCTTAGGCGCTGCCTTTCTAATACAAGCGTTTTAATTTTCATTTTGGTTAAATTATGTTTTTTGTCTTCCACGTAAACTTTCTGGGGTGTGGAAATGTTGGCGGCTGCTCTGTGGGTGCCTTGTATTAAGTAGCAGACATTCTTATCAAAGAACAAAGCTAACTTTTCAAAGCACAAAATCTCATTAGCGTCAGTCCAAATTCAACAGCTTAATCAAATTTGAAGCTTCCAACACAAAAAGTAGTGTACAATGCGTCACCACTAAAAGAGCTTTCACTCGCAAAAAGGGCAAAAACCGCACGTTTCAATCAAAAATCAGCCAAATAGGTAAAAAAGGAGCTATGATTTCCATACGCATATCACCACATAAATGCTTACACGCACATATCTTCATACATACATATGTACGTATGCATTTGAACTTATGTGCAAGTATATGTATAAATTTGAAGGCGCTTGTAAAGCCACCGCCAAGTAAAGCCAATAAATCAACGGTGATTTTGCATTTAACGGCACAGAAAAAATGCGTACATGGCCATGGCTGATATACATATGTAAGTATGTTTATGTACAAATACACAAACATATTTATTTATTTATTTATTTATACACAGCCATTTGTCGGCAACCAGCCAGACGCACTCCTGCTGCGTTACGCTTTATGAGCTGTTGTGATATGCCAGGTTTGTATGCGGATGACGTTTTCATTATTCAGACAGCATACAAGTGTGAATATTTGAATGCATGTAATTGTACTTGTGTACATACACGTGTACACTAGACCGGATCTGTCCTCATGCGATAGAAAAAAACTTTGATAGCTTACTTTGAGAGGATTTCAGGGTCATACTGGCGAGTACTAAGAAGAGCCAAAATCGAGTTTTCTTCGTAACTCTTTTATTTGTTACTCGATTCCACATGGTTGAAAAGATAACTTTTCGTACTTTAGTACTGTTATAATTTTTGGATTCATAATGTTCGACGTAATAGAAAAATTTATCAAAAGAGGATTTGTTGGATAATTGGAATTTTTTTCGAGGAAATGGATTTGAAGAAATTTTTTTAGGAAAAAATAACTTTTACGGAAAAGACATAATTAAGGAAAACTCTGTAGGAAAACAGAGTAGAAACAAAGATTTTTTTTAAACAAAACTATTTTTGCGGTAAAAATTGATTCTTCGGGAAAAATTATTTATTGGAATAAAAAAAATTAACACAAATTTTAAAGGAAAAACTAGTTTGCTTTTCGAAAAGCTCACATAATGGAAACAATTATTTTAGGAGAAAAAATATTTTTTATTTGAAAGTTGGAACTTTTTAGAAATATTTGTTTTTAAGAAATTTTCCTTCAAAAACAATTTTTTCGGAAGAAAACATAGTTAGAACTAAAATTATGTTTAAAGAAAAACAATTTTTTTAAATTTTCAAACAGCAGAAACAAGGATTTTTTGGGGGAAATCTATTTTTGTGGTAAATAGTAACTACTAGCAGTAGTAAGGTAATAGTTTTCTTTGTAAAAAAATATTCATGGGAATGAAAACTAAAAAAACACAGGAAAATAATCAGTTCAGCGAAAAAATTAATTTTGAAGATATTTACATAAAAAAGTCATCATGGAAAATGAATCTCGAAAAATAATATCTATCAAAAAAATTCTGATTAAAAATGATGAAAAATTTACTAAATTTAGAAAAAAATAAATTATATTAAATTGGATAATTACATTTTTTATAACAAATACCTGGAAGAAAATTTCTTTTAGCTAAAATTTATGAGAATTTTAAAAATAAAATTATTTTTTAAATAAAATTTTTTTGTTTGATACCTGAATTTGATAATTAAGCTTTCGATGCGTCACCGTATTTTTTATAATTATCGGCTTATGGTCCTGATGGGGTTAACTCAACTTGTACCTCATTCAATACAGTTTTACTCTTCATAAATAAATACGTTTTTGTAAGCGATGCATTTTTTTCTTTGGAGCCGGAAGTATAAGTAAATAAACAGAAAAGTAGAGTGATCTTAAATTTGTCTTTAAACCGAAGGAAACTTTGGCTGTTTTTAGAACTCGCCAAAGATGAACATTTTTGTTCTCTCAAAGCAAGCTTTCAAACTTTGGGGTAATAGCAAACTTTTTTCGCGACCCGGTCTAATGAACATACATATATGTACATAAATTCACAATTCTCATGCATACAATAGTGTTTCTGCAAACAAACACATGTAAACTGTAAATATATATTTGTATGCGCAGCGCTTAAGCCCGTAGGATAGCAGCTTGAGGCATTGAAACTACCTTGAAAGCGACAGCTGACCATCAGCTTTCAGGTGCTACCGTCACCACAAATAATGGACTGCGCGTGTACTGAATGGGCAAATGTTTGTAAGTGTGCACTCAAAATGTATAATGATGGCTGTTGGTCAGTTAGAACATACATATGTATGTATGGATATGTGTGTGTGAACAATAGAAAGCTTTTTGCCTAAATAAATGCCGGTAGTGCCCGAGGATGTGGCAACCTTAGTTTGGCGTTGAAATGCATTTAATTGCATAAGCGCACACAAACGCAGACTACACTAAACCAAGCACACTTTGTGCCTTACATACATATGTACATATGTACATACATACATACATCCCTGCATAACGAAAACATTTCCATTTATCACACTTTATTAAATCATTTGTAGCTATGCTGTCTTCTGCTGCATGCAACATATGTTTGTACTTTCTGGATGCCTAGTTTTTCTTCGCTTTCAGCTTTAGTGCGCCAGCTATCACGGCTACATGCTACATAATTCATTTCCCAGTTTCATGTCATATTTTTTCATTACCACATCTCTTGCATTTCAATCGCTTGCTTACTAAGTGTGAACCTCGCACACATGCATGCTGCCAATTTTAAAACAGCTCCCGGCCAACTAGCCCAAATTTATCCGACCTCCAACAACTACCTTTCCTGCCACCATGCGATTGGCTTTTTGAATTCTCCTTAACTCTTTTTTTTTTTTTCTTTGGTCTACAATGTAGTTTCCCTCGCTTATTTTGCTTTCAACCATTTGCTCACAACCAGTTTTTCATAAAATCACAATCCATTTTGCGGTATGAATAAACCATATAGCCGCTATGGCATGACACGGCAAAGGAAATTTAAAATGGCTGGCTATGTCCGGTCGGCTCGTTTGTCAAAAATTTGATAAATTATCGCGCTTTTCAGTACGATGAGGAAAAAAAGGAAACCTTCATGACATAAAACGCTAATGGAAATTCCGTAATGCCTTGCTTTCACTGTGCCCCGGTGCTTATAAAATATTACCATACACTATTGACTAAATCGAATTAAGAGAACTGCATACTTGCTTTTTGCATGCCATATGAACGCTTAAAGCTTTTGTATTGATTTCAGATTTACTACAGCAAATAAATGGTAAAACTGCTGTAGGGTTTGTTGCCCTCACAAGATACGAGATCACACACTGTCCGTTGCTTTTTCACATGTAAGACCTACATTGGGTTCGCCGAGTTCGAGTCTGGGATAATAGAAGTTAAATCGGAGAGTAACACGCGTCTCCTGAGGCAGCCTCTCAGGACGAAAGTTGATGAAGGTGGTAATGTTCGTCCATCGGTAATATCGTTGATTACCTGCCTGGGGTACGTCGAGTTAAGTGATTGTTGTACGTTAAGGTTCCTAGGATGAGTTCCTTTTCTATAAAGTATATTTTCGGGCCTCACGTCAATAGCAGTCGGCCAGGAATTGCTAGCTCAGCATGATGTAGACTTTCCAGTCTGTCGGGACTTTAGAAAAATCATTTCCTAGTTAGAGGTCTAGAAAAATTATTTTCAAATTAGAAGTTCCTCTGGGAAACAATATATTTCTTTGGTCAGATTGGATGTTATTAGATGATTGTCCTAGTCAAAGAAGCAGGCTTCGGATTGGTTGCTCTCCAGCGTGAACCTCTAATCCGACAGTCACGCGGTCACCAGAGATCTTAGCTCTTTGATGGTTGGTTCGAAAAGAATAAAAGCTTGTCTGACTGATTAAACTCTTTGGGTTCCGGGTCACAGCGGAACCGCTTGAAACTGCATGGCAGATGAACTGGCAAGACAGGAAATGCTTGAGAAAGTACTCCCGGGTGCAGGAAGTCTGGGTGCTACCTTAACCTCGTGTGACCTACTTCTGGTCAGATGAGCATTTAGTCAGCTCAGCGGGCGATGGGAAAAGAACTTGGAATGCAAGGTAGCTTAAGTAGTTTGGCGTCATGTAGACCGAAATCAGTCTAGGGAGTTTTAGCTGATCATTGTGTGATAGTTAAGCATGCCATAAGGCTGAATATTACGGACTACCTTTACCGCACCAGATGCTTGTAGGAAGAGGACATCATCTCAATACCTGCTGCTCTGGTGCCTCACATTTGTGAGGCAAAGGTTCAGGCGCTTTCGGGAATGTGTATCCGTCGCTTTAGAAACTTCGTTGTGAACACGGAGGGTTTTTTTCATTAAGCTTAGGTGTCATCGCTTTGTTCCTCCATCCCGGTTTCTACCCTCCACCCATCCTTCCGACCTTCCTATGTGTTTCTCCCTCCTCTCTTAAAAGAACCACAATGGAAAGCTTTATTCGTATCTAAGAGTGCGTTTACCTACGGAGGCTGCCTTCATACCTTACCTGACCATAGTGAGGACAGGCCCTTCGTCTATCCTTTTCTTTTAATAGACTCTTGAGGTACTTAAATGGTCACAATCAACGAAATACTACTATTTTATATGCATGGAATATATGTTGTCGAAGAGTTAGAATGCCGCCTCTGCCCTGAGGAAACGAGGAAACTTCTAAACACATTCTTTGTAGCTGTGCGGTCTTGACTACATCGAACCCTTTGTAAGAAGGATTTTGGTCGCCAAGGCCATTCTAGTATTCACTAAGGGAGCCGTAAGTATCTTGGACATATTGTATATTGGCCAACCAAATTTGGCGCACGTAAAAGGACATGCTTAGCTCCACGAAATTTACACAAATATAAAGAATAGACTAGGAGATGATATCGACAGCGACGACGAGCTTATCATTGGCGACTAAATGCTTAAGCTCAGATGGCTACATGAAAACGACAAGATTTAGTTAAAGTGAGAAAAAGTAGAAAACGCGCAGCTCTAATTAAATTCCGGTCAAGAGCAAGAGGTAGTCACTATACTACTACTATTTATACCGTGAGTCTCGGAAAAGACCGAGAACAAGACTAAAGAAGAACTAAAGCCGGCCATAATCAAGTTAAAATTCAACAAAAATGCATTGAAGAACTAAATAAATTACAACTGAAATACGGTACAAAAAAAGTAAGTGCGCCTGGGCCACACTGGAGAAGTGAAATTTACTTTACATACAAATCTATTTTGTCTCATAACCAATATAGGTGCATATGTACATACATATGTATATACATAGATATGTACATCTGCTTTTGCTTAGGGATATATTTTTTGTGTTTTTATAAGCTTTTATTTAACTTGGTTATCCCGCGCAAATCGCGGAAATTTCCAATCGATTTTAAACTGACTTCCCGACAAGTTAGAGACTTGAAATTTTCAGCATAGTTCCAATCACGATGACAATGTAATTTAAAATGTAAATGAACTCTCCATATGGTCCAGGGGTCTTGATAGAAAGGCGGTAAAAAAATAGTAAGATTTATGGCTAACAGAGCGTAATTTGCCAAAGAACGAAAAACCACTATAAAATTGTTAAAGCTGCCGGCGCGCCGCGGCGGTACTATAGCAAAGCTATTCCTAGTCTAGATATGAACCTCGTTGTAGGCATCATATCAAGGAGATACAATTAAAAGACTCCAGATGTCGCCCTGCCAGAAGAAGTTAAATATTGCGCCTAAATATATGCCATGCTACAGCGGAAATGGACGACACGCCATTTCTTTAAATAAAATTAACTGCTGCTGTATGTACATATGTATGTTTATACAAAATGTAAGCAAACAACATTTTGCTTGCCAAGTCTTCTGTTCTCTTTGACTGCAAGTTGAATTATTTTAATATCTATTGCAAAATTTTGTACATAAAATAAAATAACACTTTTTAATATACAACGCTTTTATAAATAGACTAAAAATTATAAAATAAAATAATGTAAAAAAAATATTTTTTAAAAACAAGCTTTTATTTAACTTGTACAATCAAAGGAATAAAATGAAGTAGTGTAACAAAAGATTTTTTAGCAAGAAAATTTTGTCAAAACTGCACTAAAATGAATAAAATAAAATAAGTTAAGGTCTCGTTAAAGTTACTAAAAGCCATTTAGTGAAAGGAGTTATTCAAACTCTAATGAAAATTACTAACAATTTGTACTAATTTACTTCGTTTTTAAAAAAGCTTGAAGGCGAATTCAGCGTACATGCATAATTGGTTAGGTATGTATGTATATGTATGTATGCAGATATTTAAATGCCGGTTTGCTATTCGCGCGACAACGAAGTAAATTAGTACAAATTGTTAGTAATTTTCATAAGAGTTTGAATAACTCCTTTCACTAAATGGCTTTTAGTAACTTTAACGAGACCCTAACTTATTTTATTTTATTGATTTTAGTGCAGTTTTGACAAAATTTTCTTGCTAAAAAATCTTTTGTTACACTACTTCATTTTATTCCTTTGATTGTACAAGTTAAATAAAAGCTTGTTTTTAAAAAATATTTTTCTTACATTATTTTATTTCTATCTAGATCCCTACCTCCGCCCTGTTCGTTCTAACTAAATTTATGTTATTCTGTTTTCCTATATGTTCATTTTTATCTCTATACAAAGTCAATAACAAAATCGATAAAAATATCGATAGCAAAATCGATAACAAAAATCGATTAGAAAATCGATAAATATATCGACAACAAAATCGATAAAAATATCGATAACAAAATCGATAAAAAATATCGCTAGCAAAATAGTTTAAAATATCGATTACGAAATCGATAAAAATATCGATTATTATATCGATAAGTTCCGAACGTATCGGTAGCAAAATTGATAACAGTATCGATAAAAATGTTGATAACAAAATCGGTAAAAATATCGATAACAAAACCGATAAAAATATCGATTACTTTATCGATAAGTCCCGAGATCCCGAAAATCTCTAAAATCACAAAATAGCTCCCAGATTGAGTCTCTGTGTCTCTCTCTATTTCCTTTCTCTTTAATTACCTTTATTTTAATATTTCTTCCCCTATCTTCATCTTTACTTTTATCGGTATCCTCATCCTCATCTTTGTTTTTACTTTTATGTTCATCATTTTCTTCATTATGGGAGAGAAGGGGAATATCCTTTGCCTTATATATTTAATTAAAGTGTTTAAATTTACCTTGGTCTTCATTTTTGCCTTTATCTTTACGCATCTTTGTTTTTGTTTTTATTTTAACCTTTGCCTTTATCCTTTTCTTTATCTATGTACGTACTGACCTTTACTTTCATTCTTGTATTGGTCTTTTTCTAAGTGTTATTCTTTAACCTTTTATTAGCAAATTTTTTTTTAATTAATACCATATGCATACACACAAGAAGCACTTGTTTCAGCCCCAACCATTTCCATTGCATCATTTCCTTGTGCAATTTCCGTTGAATTTGCCAATTTACTCCCAACCAGCCAACCGCCGCTAAAGAAGTTTCACTTCAAAAATCGATCGGTGTATCGTGGGGCTTCTCACCTACGATAGTTCTTACGGTCGTTCGAGAATGCTGAAGATCTCTAGAATCGTTTCAACAGCAACACAGTGGTATTTCGGGAAATGAGAAAGCAGTAAAGAGATTTGAAGTAGGATTGTACATTTCTATTTTCCAACCTCCTTTATTTAGCAAGGTGCCAAAAAACGTATTTTGCAAAAATTTTAATTTTGTTGAGGATTCCAGTAAAAGACCTATCCAGTAAAAAAGTTTATTCGGAAAAGAAAAATTATTTGCTTAAGGCGACACACCCCTACCCATCTAGCGCCTGTTTTTAAAATAGCGAAGATAGATTTTGCAGATAAGCGTTTTATAGCTTTTGGGTAATCTTGTATAAGCTTTAAAACACTTCTGGCTTTTGAAAAAACTTGAAGGTGGGAGTTTGAACCGTTAAGCATGATTTGGATGTTGTTGGAATGCAGCTCTGTTTGATAACAGCTAATGGGGAGTTTTTCATTGCATATTTTTAGGCACTCAAGGCCTTAAATTAAAAAAATCGACCATTTCGATCAAAAATATAGGAAAATTTTGCGAAAAATTTTGATAATGTTAAAATAAATAAACCAATATAGTTAATAAGAATGGGTTATCTATGAAACTAAACAAATAAATAAATAACAGTAAATCTAGTCTTAAAACACATCTTAATATATATAGTTAGATAGTAAGTTAGAAAGAAAGTAAAGCACATCGAGACAAAGATGTTGCGGGGGATAACCACCACATCTGGGCCTCTCCCCCTAACCTGCCTGAATCCTTCAATTGCTCCATGAAGTCCTTGCCCGTTATATCCACCAATGAATTGGGATCCATATTCGATAAAGAATCCAAATCCGGATCACTCAACACCGATACATTACACAGGTTATTTTGCAGTTGTCCCACTAGCTGTTTTATACGAGCGGTCTCAGCTGCGGCATCGGTGGTATCACCGGGTGGCTCCATGCCACCGCCGCCGACGCCAACGCCAACACCACCGCCACCACCAACACCAACAATACCGCTATTGCTGCCACGATGATGACTGGTTATGGTAACATAGTTGGTGGGCTGTAATTAGAAGAAAAGAAATGCAAAGTTGAACTTGATTACAATAAATTTTTATAAATTGAAAACTATTTGCAAGATAAACACTATATTTTTAAAGGTTAAGTTTGTATGAAAAACATTTATTTTTCTGACATCAATTAAGTTTCTTTTATAATTTTCATTTGCTAACTATGTACATACATACATATTACTGTAAAAATATTCACCTAGTCCCACGCAATTTCGCACAAACACACAGTCACTCAAAAAATTTTTTTTTTCTCTCATTAGGTTTAACTTGTTTTGCAATAACTACATCCAAGTTTAATTCTATTTAGATGCACACAACGAGCCTCAGTAAAATAATGCCAACTGCCTGTCAGGCGTTTTTCTGATTTCGCCAATGCAGCAGTTTGTCATGGCTTGTCGCCATTAATATTTATGAGCCTTTGGAGTTTGAATTATTGAACAAAGTATACAATACAACAAAACGAACAACAGCACTTAGGTCCGTATGGGGCGGAAATGACTTTTTGCTGGCCTATGAAAGGAAGGACATGCAAGTGAGTGGAGAATTACGGCTTTACTGTATTAAGTTTAAGAAGGTCAACGCACATTATTAGACTTTTCCTTAACGCAAGAAAATTTCAAACTTACACTCTCCAAGGAGCACAGCTGAAGTTTTGGAACTTTTTTCTAAGCAATCGCCTTAAAAATTGATAAGTTTTTATCTGATTGTTTCTATATGTATACTTTTAGTTTGCTTTACCAAAAATTGTATGACTTTATTCATAATAAAAAATTTAAGAAATCTTCATACAAATTTTTGATTTATAAAGCAGTTAAAGTATTCTATATTTTTTATAAATTTGGGGTACACCTCTGAATTTTCAAAATTTCTTTAATCCTTCCACAATGTTAAAAAAATCTAAAAAATTATAAAAATTAGCAATGCAACTATGTTGAAGACTTCCACTACCATCACTCCTATGTCTTTCTATGACCAGTTTTTCATACTTTAGAGAAGTACGAGGGAAGAGACTGATTTTAACGAGTGACTCAAAGCTGGAATATCGAAGTTGGTCGCTGCCCGTTGGCAATCCATCCATTGAAACTCCACACAAGCGACGACCAGCATTTACGCTCTGCGTGTATTTTGCTAATTTTCCTATGCAAACAGCGAGTTATGATTTGGTCGTGACTGCTCAACATAATCCAAAACCTTTTGGTAGCAATTATTTAGTGAATAAGATTTTAAGAATTTTTAAATTCAGACAATTTTGCTTTCAAGTTATTCACCGAACGATTTTTTGATACAGATACTTATTGGCTGTAGAATATGTATTATTACCAGTTCTTAAATTTTATTAAAATTACAGAACTTTCTTCTCAAAAATGTCAACACCAACGATATAAGTGAAAACTTTTGTTCTGTACCCTTCATAAAGCTTATCCGAGGGTGGCGTTTTGATCTTGATAATCCATATAAAGCTTCGAAAAGCTTTTCCTGAGATATCTGTCTTGGTCGTGGTTAACTTAAAGTCACAATCTGCATATTTATTGGCAATCAGTGCCAGCTCTTTATGAAAAAAAAAATCTGCAAAAACCGTCTCACGTGGGATATGGTTTGGTCGTGATTAGCTTACAGTCGCGCTTTAGATCAGTGACAATCAGAGAGAGCTTTTATTCTGTGTCAGCCTATAAATAACTGATAAAATATCAGGAAGAGCTTTTTTCACCTTTGGTAGATTTTATATGAGCATAGAGAGTAAAAGCTTTTTCTGATCGTCACTAATGTAGAAGGTATAAGATTTTAAATTTTTTAGCTTACTTTCCTACCACAATTGTTTACCTTTTTTAAAGTTGACCAAAGTTGGCTCTAAGCTTGTGACCTACGTAGAGACAGGTTTAACTATCTGAGTCATATCTAACATAACAAGGTTTTTCTGATTATTTGCCTATTTCTGATAGCTCGCCAATAATGCTGCTATGCCGTATTGCTTCTACCTTCAACAGCTGGACCATTTTAGATTGCTAAAGTACCGAACGACGACAGATGACATGAGGAAATCACCTGTGGAACTGACAGGAAACTATGTCCGGCGCTCTTTGCTAAAAGCACTGGCCTATTACTGAGCTTAAATAAGCAGAATATCAGTTTGCTAGTATCTGTTATAACAGGACGCTGCCTAATTGGCACGCATGCCTATCTACTAGGCGTACGGCTACATGACTTCTGTAGAAATTGTCAAGATGAAGAAGAGTAAGAAACTACTCTGCACCTGTTGTTCCAGTGCCCTGCTCTATGCAGGCGAAGACTGTAGACACTCGATAGGCAATTCCGCGATAACCTGGAGGACGTACGATTCGTTGAAATCAAGGGCCTTCAAAAACTCCTGCGAAGTTCTGCTATAGCGGAAAATCTTTCATCCTAAAATTACTTGTAGAGCATATCAAATGAAAATTTTTCCATTTTTGATAAAAAATAATTTTTTTTTTTTTATATTTGTAAATATGTAACTCAAAAGCTCGTAAATGTAATTAAATTTGATTCGATGCATATATATGTATATGTTTTGATTGGTAAACGGATGCTACGAGTTTGAAATCGGTTTTTTGGATTATCAAACCGCGCTTTGAGACCCACGAGCGTTACCTAAATAAGGCTGCCTCTAACTTTTCACAAATGCTTCAGAGGAAAAAATTTTATACCAAAACACCACCATTGCATCCCCTGCTTATAAGATTAACTTGCCTCCTTCTTTTTTGAGTTCTTGTTTTATGACTTGCTGCAAAATCGAGCTGCATTGTGAATCCCTTCAATTAAATTGTAAGATACAACATTTTCTTTGTAGTCTCTTTACAAAGCATTCACAAATTTGCAAAGTAACCCACTTTTTTGCACTGTAAAAAGCTCAGTCTCCCTCTAAAATAACATTTTTTTTATCAACGCTGTCAAACAAAAGGATCCTCTAATATCAATAACTCTCAACATTAATAACAGTTTATCTTAGCATACATACATACGTATGTATTCATGCATGTGAATCCAATTAAGCTCATACAAAGCCAGTCAGCGATACTGAATCTTCATAATTTTCTAGACGCACGCCTAGTTTAGGAGTGAGCTAAATCTCCCTGCAACCCACGACGATTTGGTTGTACTTAACACAATTTACATAAATGAATTAAAAGACTAACCGAGCATTAACTATGAAGATGTTCTAACAAAAGGATAAAAGAGACAAAGACGGAAGAGAGATGAAAATGTGAAAGAATAGCGCAAGGATACTTAACATCAGTCTAGGCCAAGTGTAGCTAAACTGTAGCGGCATTGTCAATGAAAATTAGTACACTTAAGAAGCTGAACTCTAGCGCGAACGCTTCATGCCGCCTTATATGTATTATCGATATACATACATACATACATACATACAAGTACATAAAATAGTAGAGGAAAGAGTGTGTATGAATTTTATTATAAGTAATTGCGAGAGTATTTTCTCTTGTTTAACCCTTTCGCACTTCAGAGACTGGGTAGCAATTACGCGAGCTCTGGCTTTATCTACATACCTTGCGGGCAAGAACCAAAGGAAGAAAGAAAGAAAACGTCGAAAAAGGCGTGAAAACTTTTTGCAAGTAAAAAATAATTTTAATTACTGAAAGTATTTTGAATGGTTTTATCTGGGTTTCTTCGCATTTCTTCCGTTTTCTTTGTAATTTTTTTTTCATCAAAGTGGCTTTTTTCGCAATTATACGAAAGTTGGCGAAATTCGCATAACTAACTTCCGGCGCGAAATAGTATGAGCACTTTTTTCTGGCTTATTAATTTTTTTATTATAAAAAGTTTTCACTCGGCAAGCGAATCGTTGCAAACTAAGTACTTACTTATTTGCCTTGTTTTCGCATGAGAGTATGTGGCAAGCGAGTGAAGTTATTGTGGATTTCGTGAGGATGTGAAGTGAAGATAAAAAATTTTTTAATTTTTAGCAAAAGAGTTTTACGTAGAGCCAAGGAAAATCAAAACAAAAATGTGCAAATTTGGCAAAAAATTTGTTAATGAAAAAATTAAGTATGCTCTCAAATGTACATTGGTGTTAAAAATTTGGCAGAGCGTACCTGTATAAATCCACTACTGGGCAAAAATACATTAGTGTATTTCTTTGATTCGAATCATCCAAACGTATTTATGTACATCGATATTTTTCGATACACCGAAGGCTATAAATCGATGCATCGACTTGCGTAGGAATTTTCATATTATTATTTCACTACAAATTAGCAAAATTTTACAAAATTCCTAATTAATTCCTATAATTGAGCAAACTAACGGGCCATTGAATTAAGTCAAACACTTTTTCGTATAACCATAGAAATCATAAAAATTTTAATTTTTAAGTCATTATAAATTCCTAATTTTCTGGGTTTTTTAGAAAAATTGTCCACTTTATTCGATATTATGTATTCTCGACACATATACATATATAACTTAAAATATAATTTCGTTTTATATGGAGCAAATGTGGGCGTGCAAATAAAAAAGCCTTAACAAATTTAAATTACTGAAGGAAATTGCTTCACTTATGAAACTTAGCCGGTTTGAATCAGACAGATAGCAATCTAGAGATTTTCTAACAAATTTTTTGGTCAAATTCATTTCTAAGCGGTTCTGTGTACTAGAGATGTAAGATTTCAAAAAACATCGATGCATCGATACTTCGGCTATTCGCACACATCGATATTTTCGATGCATCTATGTTTTCCCGACATCCGTATCCACAACTCGCCGGTGCACCAATTGAAACTAATTTCTTTTCAAAAAAATTTTACTTTTACCTAATAAATAGTTAATCGGTTTAGATAGATAGATTAATAGTTTCATATATTGCTCGTGTTTACGGTTCTTTTTAAATATTTAAATCAAGTTTTTAAGCACTTAATGCCACGCATATATCTTTTGATACATTTATCGACAAAGCAATCGATATATTTTTATTTGTCGATATTTTTGTCGACATTCA